CGAGGTCATAGAGGGGTCGCAGGAAACGTGTGTCCTATATGTGACAATCCAGGACGAAACTACCAGGATCAGATTGTTTGACTGGAGTTCCTCCCTGAATCATGGCGCTCACTTCCTCTGAAACTTTCATTACATTAAGCTCAGTAGTTTGATAGTTCTTAGTTAGCATATCTTTTACGTATTTCTTAATGGGAGCTGATATGCTCATAGCGTCACTAAATGGTAATTCTAGTCTCACTTTGCGAAGGCTTTCTTACAGATGGCTTTTTCTATCTCCTTCTTGGTTTGTGATCTAGTGGGAGGGTAAGGAGGTAACGCATTATAGATTTGTTCAATGATAGGTTCGCTAGGAATTGAAAATCGATCGATGTTAACACGGGGTTGTTGATCGCTTTCATGTTCTTTAGAACGATCAACATCAACATCTTCCTGTCAATCGATTCCTACTCCTTCATCTGGATCGTCTTTCTCCTCATTGGGAGAGTTTGTGTTTTCCTGCTCATCAGCGACTCGTTCTTCTCTAAGTGGAGTTTCCGGAACTGGAACAAGATCGTCGAGAGAGAAGGGTGGAAGAACATTCTTACCGTATTTACTAGTACCTTTAGTGTTTGGGGTAAGCTGTTTTCTGTTTCTCAGCATAACGGCACAGACTTTACGTCTTGGGTTTGAGTCGGTACTTCCTGGAAGGCATCATGTCTCTCTCTTTATGGCAAGGGCATTTTCGGCTACTCAGTTTTCCAGTTCCTGAATGCGATCATTAAGGATATTAGATTTTTCTATCATTGTCCTATAGACGTGTTTCATCTTCCTATTGAATTCATCTATCAATCTCCAATTGCTGCTAAGGGCTTGGTCTAAGGTAATATTTCTCCTTATATCATCAATCCGAAATGTTTCAGATTGGCTTTGTTCTGCTAGGAAAGATTGTAGGGATTCTAGAGAGTTCTTAATTTCAGCTAGATTAGGGTCGGTAGGTGAATCTATCGTTTTGCCTGTTTCTTCTTCCATCTTCTCATAAGATTTCTTTGTTGCTATATTCTCATATGGCGTCTCGCTTCTGCGGAACTTCGAGTGATGAAACTTCCCTCGCTAGCTGTGTCTAAAGTGTCTTGATAGTCTAAAGTAACTCCTCCATAAAAAATGTTAAGGAATTGCGGTTCTGGATAACCATGATGGGGACATTCAAGTTGGTAATTCTTAAATCTTCCCCACGCGTTCCTAAATGATTCACGTGGATCTTGCTGGAAGGCAGATATCTTCTTCCTCACGTCCCATTAGTGCGCATCATCGAAGAATTTTCTAAAGAAAGCAGCTTTAATTTCGCTCCAGCAGGTAAGAGATCCTGCTGGCAATTGATTAAGCCATTTCTTAGCTTCCCTTCTAGAGAGAAGGAATATAGCTTACATCGATTGTGCTCATCTATTAATAATTCTTCTAAATTTTCTATGTGATCTTTCGGATGCTCTGAGGTGAATCCATGGAAGGGGTTTTTACGAACCATGAGGTAGTAATATGAGTTAAACTCAAATTCCTTGGTATCGTCTTCTGGTATCTTAATAGCAGACCTATTGGAATAGGTCCTACCAGGATCTAGATGGTCTTTTAAAAGTCAATTCTATTTTCACATATTTGGGTAAGATGGAAAGTAATCTTACAGGGAGTTCAGTCCCCTGTTCTATTTGGATTTCGCAAATATCATTACATAATTGACCTATTGGTTCTGTTTGGACTACTTCCTTATTAAATGTGGTAAGTAACGAGTTACCTGCTTCCGGCGGGTTGGTGTCGAACGATGATGAAACCTCCGTATCGGTCGACGTTTGCAGATGTGTCTCGTTCGAATCTTGTATCTTCTCATCGATCGACGCTGCGTCGGAATCTGTGTTCTCCATTTTCTGAGTGCCTGAGTAAATAGGAGAAAGAGAACTAAGTAAAGTTGTAAAAACGAAGTCTAAACTAAATTTCAAGTTAAATCTAATGGTAATAAGAAAGAGTCCCCGGCAACGGCGCCAAATTTGATATCACTCAAATTACCATAAGGAGTGAATTACTCTCTCAAATAAAAGGTTCAATATAGTACTTAGGGATCGAATCCACAAGGACTCTAGGATTACTCAAAAGATCTAAGTATTAAAATATAGCTAGACTAAAGATGGGTTTAAACGGTTTTAAAGCAGTAATTAAAGCAAAGCAAACAGATGATTATTCAGTAACTTGGATTGAAAGTAGATTTCAGTGAGGAAAGTAGTTAGACTTAAGTATTATCTCAGGTTTCAGTATGAAATTGATTTCTGACATTAAGGTTTTAGATTGTTCATGAATTCAAGCACAAATAACGAAACTAAATAGTTTTCCTTGTCTAGATCTCGGATTTAAACTGATAGTTTTTAATCGCGAAACGAGTTGTTCGATTATCTTAGTAGACAATCGATTGATACACCTTTCAAGTAACCGATCGATGAGAGAATGCTCACAGCGATCGACGACTCTTCTAGCAAGCTTTAAGAACGGGGTAATATTATTCTCTAATTCTTTAGACCAACTGTCGTATGGATCTATTGAATTATACCAAACTAGTTAGGATTCAAGTAATAAGTAAATGATTATTTGACTCAATTAATAACCTAGGGTTTAGATTTAAGGGTGATCAATCGTAAATCTAATGTCAAGCTTAACCAAGTTTGAAGAACAAATGAAAAACACTTAAACAGCAGTCATGAATCAACACATAGATCAACTACACGAGAAACCTAAATCTAACAAATGAGATTACTCAGACATATTCATAAAAGACAATATCATGATGGTATGAATAAAAATCATAAAGTAAACAAGAAGCAAAGTAAATAATGGTAAAGAAGCAAAGGAGTTCAAGATCTTCTCTGTTTTGTAGTCTCAGATCTCTCTCTCCAAATCCTTAAAAACTCTCTTCAATGGTATACAAGTAACTCTCAAAACTAGCTCTCCCTCAACACTAGGTAAAACTCTCCTTTTAAAACAGCTCAAAACCATAAAAGTGTAGCATGTAGGCGGCTAGGGACTAATCTTGCAATTATCATAACTTTTATAAAACTTGAGATCTTCTAATTTTTGTTGTAAACTCGCGGGTAATGTATGAATCGATCGATGCGTATAACATTGTATCGATCGCTCGTAAATGGTGACTGTCGATCGTCTCTAGTCTTGAAACGTCGATCGATTGTTGAGATCGGCAGAAGTGCTCTTCAAAGTCTCCAAAATGCTCCAAAAATATCAATTTTCTTCATAAGCTCCTAAACCTGTAAACTACTTCTAAAAAAGTTCCAAATGCTTATGAAATATGTAAAAATCACATCTAGGTCATGGCTAAAAATGAGTAAAATCTAGGACCTATCATTTATGATTGTGTCTAGGCCTAAGGTTGATAGATAGATTGAAAAGCTTCCATTTTTAGATTGAAACTTGATCACCCAAGATCGATTCCCTTGTCCCATGAGTTCTCCCATCTCATTTAGAAAGAAAGTTTTGATCTTTATTGCTTTATTAGTAGTTTTTTAGTAAAAATCATCTCACCAATTAATAACACTTAGATTAAGCATGGTGTTGCATTCCCTTTGATTTAGAATCACTTAGAACTGGTTTGACATCCTTCATATTACAACATTTGATTAGGACTCTTTAAAACTCCTAACACCACGATTTGATTGTGACGGTTCGTTGTGGCGGTACGTTCATGCTGATGTCTATGGCGATCTGTCCTTGGCAGTTAGTCGCTTGACGCTTTATCCACGACAACTTGCTCCGGTGGTTCAGAACATTGTCTTCACAGATCGATCACGCAAACATCCCCGGTGTAAGAATTTTGATCGGAATCCAAAGTATGTCAACGACGGCTCGCCCGGGACATTCAGTCCATGACACTTCATTTGTGACAGCCTAACCATAACAACTCTCTCATGACAGTGCGTCTACGGTACGATTATGTGCCTAATTCATTGTCTCACAAACCCTTTTCGTAAAATTCACAGCGATCGACTTCGTCTCTCTCTACGAACTTGGGGGGACTTACTGTTGGGGATGAATTTGCATCCTCCTTGAGGCCCATTAGACAATGAATTAGGCTCATATTGCTAGGAAGTCCTACGCTTCATCTTTCTATAAATAAGGAGCTACCTTCTTCTTAGAAAGAGATCTTTTTCTTCTTCTTAGATCTAAACACTTTCTTATAGAGATTTATGGATTCATAGATTCACTTTGCACTTGTATCATAATTGTAATTAATCTTTAATCAATAAAACTCTCTTTGATGTTCTTTTCCCCATTTGATTTCATTGAGATTACTCCTAAACCTCAAGGATCTAATCATTAGATCTTTTATTGTATAAATTCAACAAACATCAAACATTTGCTCTCTTACTTGCTTGCTTCTTCCATTTTCCTTTAGAAGTTGTATCTAGATGCAAATACAAACTATAAAAACGAACACATTTGGATGTATCATCTAGATGTTGTATTCATATGGTGTCTGTAGATGCTCCAACCAAATACAAAAACGAACATGACCTAAAGTTCTTCAGGTTGCACATCTTACCATGCTCAACTGTCTTTGTAGCTCGGCGACATCAGCTTGTATTACCCATTAAACATAGTCAGATAATAAGCATTTTTAAACAACATAACCATATCCTAGTAAAATCAAAGACAAAGCCCAATACAAGAATACACTTAAGAATGGGAGAGAAGCACAGACACTCTCTTGAGTCTAACTATTTTGGGCTTCTCAACAAGACAGTCCAACTAAATCTATCAAATAGTATGCTTTAACAAGTGAACTGCAGAAACCTTCTGATAGAGCCGCCTCAAGTTCCAACTTCTTTTCACAGATCACATGGGTATGGAAGGACGTGAATCAACCACTCTTGTAGGGTTCTTGAAACTTGGACGCAAGTGGAGGTAGAAAGACTCGAGAGATGGGAATCCGCAAAGAAGGGAAAGAGAATTTGGGGGGTTTTTCTTTAGGGCTCATCTTTGCTTTTGCATAAGCCATGATAAATTTACAGATAAAAGTTACAAGAATGTTTTTTTATCTGACCACAAAGAACAATAGAGTAAGTAAGAAGCTTTGCAACAATCTGGAAGATCTTCTCTTCTGCGAAAGCATTGTCTCAAGAAGAGAAAAAAAAAACTACAAACAAGAGAAACAAAAATTCAGATGTTTGATGCACTTAAAGCCATAAGTTTGCATTGTTCATTCAAAGCTAGAAGCTGAGCTTCTTTCTTATCAAGAAGTGCCGTCAGCTTCACATTCTCTTCCATCAGTTTCTGAACTTCTACCTCCTTTTGCGCCTTCTCCCCCTCTAGTTGTGTCGTCTTAGTCACCAGCCTGTTTCACCATCAACAAGAACTGAATACACAAATGTTTGGGATGATAAGGTTTGTAATAAAGAAGACGATGAGACTAACCGTTCAAAGAGCTCTTCAATGGTTTTGAATTGTCTCTCGGAAGAAAGAAGTGTTTCTCTGACATTGGTAAAAGTACTGACATAGCTTTTAAGAGACTCGAACTCTCTCTTCACACGACACAGCTCCTCTTCATTTTCAACAGCTTTTTCCCTCTGTCTCATCGTCTCTTCAACTAGTTCCTCAATCCTTTCCTTCATTTCGCTCAGAACACTATTAGTACTGTGAGCAAATCTCTCCATCTCCTGTAACTTTACGGACAGATTATCGATTTGCACTGTCTTCCTACCAAGTTCTTCCTCTCCCAATAGTACCATCTCCTTTTGAACAGCCGTCTCGGATTCTGCTTCTGTAACTCTCCTAACAAGAGACTCAAGAACACCAGTAACCATCTCTATGGACTGGAGCATCTCATTAGTATAAGCTCCATCCTCTATACCACAATGCATTGAAGCTTCAGTTAATGTATCTTCACAAGAAGACGAACCACCACCATCTTTCTCAAGAGAGTTTAATCCTTTCTCAGGAGTGGCCAAGACTCTAGCTTTAGATCTCAAATAGCGCAACATTACTGCAGTAGTTCTCACCCTACCAGAAAGAACACCTAACTCCTTTCTGGCATCTTCTTCTGAACCAAAGTCAAGGTAAGCTTTGACATCCAAAAGCTCAGCTTCTAAACTATCTACCTGAAACCGACGAGATTCAAATTCATTCTTAATGGCTTCATCTTGTGCAGATGCTTTTGTATCCTCTTTACAAGCCATCTCCAGCCTCTTCAAACTGCAACAAGTCAGAAAAAGACAGCTTCAGAACCAAAAACATAAACAGATCTAAGCTATAAAAGATGTTAACTCTCTCTCCTAGACCAATCATTTGCCCATTTAGCTTCATATGAGTATCAAACAAAGAATATTTGGAAATGGGTACGTTTCAGAAAGCGATGATTGATCTTAGGCTGTCAAAGTAACGAGGATCAATCGTACAGATATCGCAATTGAAATCGATCGGGGAAGATCTTAGAGAGTTTGAAATGATTTATACAAAAAGGAACAGGATTCTCACAATCGGAGGTCATAAGGTTGGAGATTTGATCCGGCTGATTGATTGATTGATTGATTGATTCGAAGAAGGAATCAGAGGCAAATAGGAAGATGATCGTCCGAAGAGAGCGGGTGAGATGGAAGGTAGAGACCAATACAATCTTTACAGGACACAGCTGCTTTGCTTTTCTTTCCTCCTCTCCTCACCTACTTTTTTCTTTTCTTTTTTAAAGAATGGATTCTTTACTTTTTTGGGGAAACATATCATTGATTCATTGGTTTCTACAAATTTTAATTGAAATTTTTTTAATCAATTAAATATTTTTCTAATCTTGTATTATAAGAAACTAGATCTTGATATCTGCGACCAAACGGATATTAATTTTCACTTTTAAAAATAATTTTTTTATTTTTCATAAATTATATAATTTGAACTTATAGTTTATATATATCATATAATTGTTTAGTATAATAATTCTAAACATAGTAATTCTATTTACTACATTGAATAATTATAGTTTATTTTGTAATAGTCAATTGTATAATATATATTTTTATCATATAAATTAACTTATTCTTGGGTTCACTCCATAACTAGGTGTTTCATCCAATAGGATTCCATTTTTTCATATTTGATATCTTTTTAAAAGGGAAACAAAATCTTTTTAAGTTATATTATGTTTTAAAAAAAACCAAAAAAAAAATTAATAATAACTAATAAAAACAAAAATAATGTTTTTAAAAAAAAATATATTTTAACACTAAACTCTAAACTCTAATCCTAAACCCTAAACCCCTAGTTAAATCATAAACCTTTGGATAAATCTTATAGTATTTTAAAAATTTAGTGTTTATGATTTATCCAAGGATTTAGGATTAGAGTTTAGGATTTAGTGTTTAGGATTTAGTGTTTATGATTTACTCAAGGGTTTAGGGTTTAGAACTAGAGTTTAGGATTTAGTGTTAAAATATATTTTTTAAAGAATTTTCTTATAAAATTTATTCAAAGTTTATGATTTACTCAGGGATTTAGGGTTTATGATTAGAGATTACGGCTAAGTGTTAAAATATTTTCTTTAAACAAAAATATTTCATTTGATTAATTATTATTATTTTTATTTATTTTTAAAAACATAATATAACTTAACAAGATTTTTTTTTCTTTTTTGAAAGATATCAAATATGAAATAATACAATTCTATTGAATGGTGAACCAAGAAGTTCACCTTAGGGGGTGAACCCAAGAATAACTCATATAAATTTATCTTTTTTAATTTCAGTTGACTTTTATTTATATGAAACTAACGGAATAATTTATATATTATATAAATGATTATTTTATGTGATTTTTACTTTTTAGTTATTACTAATAAATATGAAAAATATAACTATATAATTTTAAAATATTATTTTGTTCTAAATTTAGTACACTAATACCTAAATGTTTATGTAGCTTGTATAGGTCTTTTTATTTTTATGTAAATTTATAATTATTTTAGCTTTTAAATTATATTATGTTTTATCATGTTTATTAATTAATAACACATCGATTCTCATTCTAAATCAATTATATAAATGCATGTTGGACTTTATACAAGTCTATTTGATTACATCCATTAAATACATAACAACTCAAAAAATATATCTCTAAAATAATACTCAAAATACGAAAAAAAATATTTGAAATATTTATTGATTCTCCATCTAAATATTCAAGCTAGCCAAATTCTATGTTAAGTTCAAGTATTTTGACATATATTATTCAAATTTATGTGTTATATAGTATTTTATTTTTAAATTTTGAGCAATGTGAAGTTAAATGAATTTTAAATTTCTAACTAATTTTAACGGATTATCCACCGAACTTGGGTCAAAATTTATAAATACGGATTAAAACCTTTAACTATAAAAACCCAAAAATAGAATACATCTGAACCGATCCGAACATGTATCTGAATATCTACCCTTAGGTTAGATTATTGGAAATAATTCTTATTCAATCATACATGATTTCATTTATAGTATATAATTTATTGTTTAGTTATATTGTAGAAATTAGTTTAGTCACCAAATATGGAAATATTATGATTTAAGTAACAAATTATTATGTCCAAATTTACTATATATTGGATATGCAAATATTGTTCGTGATCAAAAGTGATTTTATTGTCATTTATGATTTTATATAAATAACAAAATTGTGTTAACAATGAGAATCGTTTGTTATGATTTCGAAGAATATTTGGAGGTTTGTGTTTCTTAAATAGAATTTTTAGTTATGATTATGGAAATCGAAATGTTTGTACAATATTTTCTTTTACAACAATGTTTGTATGATATATGTAGAATTTAATATATTAAAAACAACTAAATACATTAAAATATATATATAATAATAATCAATTTGATAAACAGTTTTGTTAGTGCCGATAAACAAATATAGATGAATAAGAAGAGTTACGTAGGTGAATGTTGAAATCAAAAGTTATATTGAATAGTTTGGAGTTAAAAAATATATAAATAATTAAAATTTGAACTTGGTTTTTATTATATCAATGGAGGACTAAAGTTGTAATGGGTGAAATACCTCATTTTAATAATGTACATTTTGCTTATCGAAATTTTAATGGATGATAAATATTAATTAATATAAAATAAAATAAATTTGTTGTGTATTTAGTTTTGTAAAGACAAGAAAGACATAAAAAGAGGAGTAATTATTACTTTAATAGCATTGCAATGTAAATAAATATTAATAAAAAGGGTAAGTTTATATTGATACTTCTTTTTAATAAGATAGATAATAGATAATGTGAAATAGTTTTTTTTCATTAATTTACTTTTTCTTGTCCTTTATTTTCTTTTGATTTGTCTTTTTGCTTTTATCCCTTTTGTTTATTGTATTTTCTGCAAAGCAATTATGAATGATTTCTACACTAAAATAACTGAAAATATCAATTTAATTTGGTATAGCAAGTTTAAAAAAAAAAAAAAGAAACGATAACGAATAACCCAAAATGAATCTAAATTCGGATTAACACTAGCAAATATAAAAGCATTCAATAGATTTATTTAACAAAAGAAAAAAGAGAACTCTCACGAAAAAGAAAAACTCAAGATAGAAGTGTGATCAAGCTCAGTGACCAGACGAAGAGGACGAAGCGACCGGACCACCCAAACCCATCTTCTTACCCAAAAGCCCAAGCTGTTCCACCAACTCACTTCCGGTAAGAATCTCAGTTGCTCCATAGATAACGTTTTTCACGGTTAACTGTCTTTGTGTCAGCTCCTGCAAACTCCCATACTCAACGTAGTTTCCTCCACCGATCATGAAAACCATTGCTTCTCTAAACGGTCCCTTCACGTGGCTACCACCACCGGAGCTAGACTTTGGAGCTCTCGGGTCAAGTAAGAGGTAAGAATCAAACTCCGGGTTCGGTTTTCCTTCTGTTAAAGCTTCAACGGTTCGAGTCACCGCCAATTGTTGATCACTAGACAACAGATTCTTGACTCCAGCAGTGACCGCGCTTATAGATTGCCCGTAAAGCTTCTCAGCCCAGTCTACAATGTTGCTTCTGCTTGCTGAGTTCGCTGAAGCTGCCAGAGACACGTTCAAGGATTTGATCTTCTTCACGTACTGAAACGCGCTTGTGTCTGCTCCAGCTTCGTTCAATGCTGCTTCCACGGATTCAACTTCTGATTGGTTTATGGTTTCCGTGGAGATCAAGTACATGATTGCGAACCTGACCTTGTCCATCTTTGTACCTTTGCCTTTTAAAGCAGCCATAAGTTCAGCTCTGTCGATTCCACCTCTCATCATCATGTCACTCTCTTTCTTAGTGAAAGCATCGATAGATCTCTCTTTGATCTGTCCTAAAAGCGCTGTTGCGATGTTGGTGTGCTTGTCAATCACCTGCTTCCTCTCAGTTAACTCCGGGAGAGAGTTCACAGCGTTCATGAGATGCTTTGTGTTCCCAATCAAATCTGTTTCATCAAACTCAGCACCACTGCCACCGCCTGTTCTCTTGTTAACCTCTTCAACATCTCTCTTGTACTTGTTCAACTGAGTCTCAATCTCCACAGCGACTTCTGGAAACTCAAGAGAGCTGTTTGCTGACCAGAACGGGTCAGAACTGTCCAGCTCAAACGACTTCATCCCTCCTTTCTCTCCCTGCACGTTCAACCTGTTGAGCTTCAACCCAAGAACATCGTGAACAAGAGGCCTGTACCTAAAATCATGCTGAATCCCAACCGATAGCTCAAAGTTCCTATCAAAAATACACAGGAGCGGACGCTGAAACGAGCTCATGAAACCACCGCCTTCAGTAAACATATTGTTCTTAGACAAAAGATGATCCCTCAGCTTCTGATCCAACAAAGACGCGACCATCTCCGCAGGTCCACCACGAGGACACCTAATAACAGGCACAACACCAAGAGTCACCAATACACAGAACAAGCCATTAGCAACTCTTTCGATTATCGCCTCTATCTCCTTATCCCCAGCTTTAGGATCATTCAGCTGAACATAAGTAGAGTCCTGAGCCAAAGAGAACAAGTTATCCTCCAAAGTCACAAACTCCAGATACTGATCATACACCTTAGAGACTTTGTCAACGGAACTCGACTTGAGAGTACCGGAAGCGAGGTCTTCAAGAAGCGGACGAGGGATGGAAGAGGAGAAGTTGAGATGGAAGGTGTCGTAGAGAGCCTCAGAAGCATCG